CTTCCAGTTTGTATGAAAACATCCATGTTCACGCGACATCTGCGTGATCTTCCTAATAACTAAAGACCAGGATTTAAAGGTAATAATAATAATAATAATATAAATTAATTAATAATAATAAAATTAAGAACCTGGTGTGTACTTTCTCTCTGTCCTCCCCATGGGTTGCATGCAGCTGCAGTTTCTCACTTTTAAAAGAGACAGCTGCAAATGCCCAGCAACGCAGCAACATGTGACTCCTGTTCGACTAGAGCAAAGGACAGCAACCAAGCTCTTTCATTCATTCTTGTTTTGAAAAAAAAAAGTGACTCACACGGTCCAAACCTACAGGAACAGACCATGTTAGTGCTTGAGGACTGTCAGAGAACAGAACATCCAAGGACCAAAGACAAAAAAGGAGTGAGAAAGAGCAGAAAAATCTAATTCCTCTACAAAGTCATTCCTCTATGACCTCTTTGAGCTGAGCTCCTGAACAGCACCCTCATCCAAACCTCCTGTCCTGGTTTCATCAGCCAATGAAAGCTCACGTGCAATTCAAACTGGACAATATCATACAGGTGTTACTTTTATTTTACTAACTTTGTTACTGTTATTTTGAGACCAATCTCATTTCTGGCATGAGAAAAGAAGACATTATTTTAGCAGAAAACATGTAACAATAAAATGCTGATTAGAAAAAGACTGCTTAGTCTTAATGAAGCCAGAAACATCTATAGAAGCACACTCTATTATAAACTGTAATTATACTGCTGCTTAAAAACAGGAAATAGCAATATCTCAAAATGAAATATGTACTGTACTATAATAATTGTGAAAGTAATGTTTTCCCTGACCTAAAAAAAAGACTGGATAGGCAATCCACTCAAAGGATTAGTTCAAATCAAGTCATGAAACATGTCTGAGCACAAGTTGGCAGGAGCAGCATAAGAGACTTCCTTATTGAAACTGAACAAGAGTTGAAGGATTCCCTGTAGTTTGACTACCAAAAGAGAAGTGCATACATAAAAAATGCTGTAAGATAAAATCACATAGCCTGACAAATTTGGTATTTTCAAACTTAAATTTTTCACTACAAGCACCTCTGCAGCAGGCTTCAACAATCTGTGCTGCCAACAACCTATTATTGAGCAAGATTAACTATTTTTTTCACCTTAGACATGCAGGAAATGCTATCATTTATCTATGCACATTTTGATGCACAAAATGTATATTCAGTTTAAATTTTATGTCTTTATGTGTGGCAACAATTTAGGTGGTCAGGATTCATTCCCTATATATTTGTTCTCAGCCAAACTGCAGCTTGTCTCAATACATAAAACATGCACATCAAAGATTTATTTGTGCTCTGGCATGTCACATTGGAGGTAGACTCACTATGAATGTAAAATATCTAAAGGCAGAAGGGCATCTGTTTTTCAAACTGGATTCATTTCCCTTAGTATTAAAACTAGCCTAGGACCCTTGGACATAATGGCAATAAACAGAAGTAATTTTCCAGAGATCAAAGGACAAACAAGGATATTATTTTCTCTCTTTTGATCACTGATCTGAAACCAGTGGTTTTGGGGGAAAAAAAAAAGGTAAAGCATATGGAGTAATTTAGTGATCAATTAAACATATTTTCACCAATCTTTTAGAGATGATTTGAGCAGTCAGCTTCTCAAAACTACTAGAGTTAGAAAGATTAATATTGTGGACCACTTGAAAGCTGGCACTCTAATTCTTCAACGCTCATTTCCTATCCTGTTAATATGTGGCTGACGCTGAGCTGCTCTAAATAAATTCTCCATCATATTATTCAGTTAATATTTTCTACAGTTGAGACACAGTACCAACCTCTATATTTCTGAACAAGCAAATGGCTGAATGCCACACTAATGCAAGCATTACACTCCAAGTGATTCAGTCATCGCTTTGTATTTAATCACCAATGCCTTAGAGCAGCAGGCTATGCTCAGCATGTTCAGGTGAAAGCGTGTTGCACAGAGAGGGGGCTGCTTTATTACAGCAGTGCAAGTTGGCTGAGCAACTGATGGTCACAGAACTGCTGAGGCTGGAAGGCACTTCTGGGAGGTCCAGGGTAAGATGCAGCAGGTCGCCCATCTCCACTTCAGTATCGAGCAATCTCCAAAGATGGAGACTCCACAACTGCTCTGAGCAACCTGTTACAATGTTAAATCACCCTCACACCGAAAACAGTTTTTCAGATGGTGTTTTCTATGTTTCAGTTTGTGCCGAGGCTGTGAATAGGCACATCAAAAGTGAATGCACAAGGCACAGGTGAAGATGGGTAGTACTTTCAAAAAAAATATTCAAATACAGACACAAAAAGTCAGTGTGTAAAAGAAAGTTATGATCCCCTTCCCTACTAAAACCCGCCCCTCAGCTTTTAAAACATTTCTGGAAAACAAACTGTGCTGGGCTGATTGTCTCAAACACTTGCACCCATGCACTACAGCTGCTACATGTTAAGAGCAGCAGCAGCTCATTGCAACTGCTACGACAAAGAGACATGTCCATGAACAGGACCCTCGATGACAAGCCAGTGAAATTTCATTTTTATGAACATGGAAAAAATTCTCAGTCATTCTTATTTTTCCATCCATAACAGAAAGGCAGTATTCACAACCACTGATATGGGGTAGGACACTATTAAAATAAGTGTCATTGTTAAGTGGTATTTTTTCCTTGCAGATACAACATTTTTCTTCCCCACAAATACTCCTAGATTTGGGGGATATTTATATCTTCTTAGTAACAGAATGAAATATTCCCTGTGTCTGTGTAATGTTTCAAGAAATCTAGAAGTGTGGTGGGTATTGGCCAAGATCCTGGATAACTTTTTTTTAACTGAAAAATCTTCCATATGAATAAATTGAGTGATTTTACCATTATTTAGTTTCAGACCTGGTACATAATATAGACAAGTTGGAAGGGTCACAACCCACTGGCAAAGGTATTTTTTATTTTTAAGGCAGGTAACTGCTTTTGAAACTGATTCACTTCTGGGAAAGCGAAGACAATGCCATAACTTTGTTTTAAAGAATGTTTCAGTGGACAGGTATGCAACAACAATTTGTAGTGTACCTTGAGTTACACTGCATATCCTGCAGAAGTACAAGATTAATAAAATAAGCACCAACCATTTCTATTCTGCAAAAAATAGAGAGGTACTGCCGGTATTTTTATGTTAGAAGCTTAAATATTACTTTACCTACAAAAGGAAATTAGTATTATTCAACCTGTGACTGACAGGTAACAGATGAAGTGCTATGGCTTTAAGCTTACTAAATTGTAGGAGGGTCCAGAAGTACCTGAGCAGCTCTGATGCCCTCAAAGCACCACCTTAATAGTAAAATTGCTAATGCATGAGTCTGAGACTCGTATAAGCAGCATGTCACTACCCCAAAGGGGAGGTAAGAATCTCTCCAGGAATGGAAGAACCCTTCAGCACAGAAGTAAAGAGCCAATTGTTGCAAAACTTTGTCTTCTTGTTTCCCATTCTTGTAATTCCAGAAAAAAAAATAAGTATTAGCAAGCTGTCACTTTAGAATATTCATAAAGGTCACAGAGCAGAGGAAGGCAGGAGAATCAAGATCTATTCACATGTATCATTAGCCTTAATGACAAATTAAATAAAATATAATAAAGAGATCATTAAAGGTAAGTAAATGGCACGAAGCAATGCTGATCATGACCATATCCTCCATATCCTGATGATCCAGGGCTCTGCCCCTCAGAACATAAGTATGTCTTGTGCTAACATTTATGAATTAACAGCTGACAAGAGGCCAGCACAACCTTCAAGCTTGTCTATGGGTACCTCTGCAGACCTAGATTAAAGATCCACCACCTTCACATGACCTACATGTCAGGGTACATTCACAGAAGAGAATCCAATTCAAACTCTTATGTTTGGGCCTCTACCAAGTGGCAGAAGACCCAGCTCCTGGGATAAAATCCCACCTTACTCCTCAACTGGTCAGTATCAATCAAAATGCTGTTCCCTTGCAGTATTTATTGCTTGTGAGCTGTGTTGCAGCTAAAAATCAAAACCAGAGAATAACAAGTGAGGCGAAACATGACCAAAGACCTATTTCCAGCATGCAACATATTAACTGTATTTTTAATTTCCTAGCCAGGAATTATCCAAGGTTCATGTTTTGTTTTTTTTTTTCTTTCAGAGCATATTAATACCGTTTTTTGCTAAATAACTCCCCAGTGAGGCACACTTGTGTTTTATCTCACAGGTTACGTCTAGTTTGCGCAGCCCAGCTTTAGCGGGTCACAGCAGCACCAACAGGTACCAAAGGTCCCGTCACATTTCTCAGCCTTACGGGGGGGGGGGCACAGGACACACGTGGGGCTCGGGGAGGGGGTGACGCCGCACAGAGCTCTCCTGCACAGCGGGACTCCACTCCAGCTGAGAGAATTATAACCACGACGTGCTTTTCTTGCACCACTTAAGCAAATTAAGTAGTTTTACAGACAGGGAAGTTATTAAATCACAGTGACGATGCTCCCCGGCACAGCCTGGGTTGGGGAGCCCTGTCCAGTGAGGAGCTGCGCGGGGTGACCTGTGCCCGTCCCCTGGCGCCGGTCTCTGCACGGCACCGCCGGCCCGCCCTCCGCCACCCCCAGCCGCTCCCCGCGGTGCCCCGGCCCCGTCCCGCGGGGTCACCCTGGGCGCGGAGGCCGCGGGAATTGGGCGCCGCCGCCCCCCCACGAGCGCGGCCCGGAGCGCGGCGCCCGGCACGGAGCGGGTCCCGGCGCGGCCCCGGCGTCCCGCCCGCCCCCGCCCCTCACCGGCCAGCTGAGTCACGAAGGCCTCGGCCACCAGCGACATGTCGCGGAGGGAGGGCGGGCAGCCGAGGACACGCACAGGAACTGGGCGCCGCGCTGCCGGGGGGGCCGCGACTGCATCCGGGGCCGGGGCGGGGCCCGCGGCGCCACCGCCCGCCGGGCTGTGCCGGGTCAGAGCCCGTCCCGCGGCAGTGCCCGGCGCCCGGGAGCGACGGTCGCGCTCCTCGGTGATCCCAGCCTGAGAGCAGACCCTCTGGAACTCACAGCCGGGGCCCGTCCCCGCGGGGCACTGCCCGCTCAGACGGCGCCCTCAACTTGGGCACGGAGTCACGAGGGGAGCGGGAACGGAACTCCGAAATGCGTCCTGAGGTGTCCTGGGGACGATAGGTTATCACTGAAGGGTACGGCTGCCTTTTCGTCATCCCAAGTTGGGAATCTTAATTCCAGAAAACAAACTCTGCATTTTGAAATGTACACCTTGCCTTTAAACAACCATTAATTTCTTAGTCTTAATTCTATAATATTAAGACTACCTAAAGTTTTGGAAAATGCTATAACATTACATACCCAATAAGTTGACTGCAGAGACGATAAAGGATATGTGAAATACTTGTTCCGTTCTACAGTGCCTCTTGATCCTCATTTCTTTAGCCACATTTTAGTAAGAATTATCTCATTTTATCAAATAAGACTTTCTCACTGTGAAGGACAGATGGTACATGTCGCTCTTGTAAGGTAAAATCTTAAATATTTGAAGTATGAGAAAATATGGGCTATATAAATGTATTCGTGTTTTCAAAGTATGTGAAAATATTCTGGTGACACTTACTGTTATTACTAAGTATATTTTTCACGTAATAGTGGAAGCAGGCTATTAGAGCACTAGCAATAGCAGAAGAGCCAGTAAATACACTGTAACAATGGACTGAGGACTGGAAACAGATGTGGAAGAGAACTGATGCTTTTAAAACGCTGATGAAAGCTCCATTTCTAATTACAGTTGCAAGTTGAATAGCATTGAAATTACAGAAACTCTGAGAAGTTGAGTGGCTTTGTATTAAGAGATTACAAGAGTCTGAACTAAACTGGTGTGTGCTGTTTGAGTCCTTTCATCACCAGCAGTATTTAGAAGGCTAAAAACACGAGACATGGTGCAAAAGGCTGAGCTTGAACTAGGTATGAGCTAGGCCAAATTAATATATTAGCACCCAACTAAAAAATAAGGTTTCTCTGTAGAGCTCAGTTTGATACAAAGAACTCATCTCCAGAAATGGAGGTGGGTTATGCTAAGTCAGGGTGCAAAAATCAGGAAGTAATCTAGCAAGTATCAACAGATACATATCAAAAGAAATCTGTTGACAAATCCAAACAATTAGCCAAAACAGGACAAAAACTGAGTGGTGCTCAGGCCATTCCTCCAACAAGTGGCAAGACACAGATGCTCAGACATCTGTCTCTGGGACAGGAGATTGGAGCAGTGGTTTTTGGTTTTGCGTTCCCAGTCCTCCTTGCTCCCATTGAAAGGACTGTTCTAGCAGAGTGCCCTGTAGGAAATCCTCCAGGGAGATCTCCAGTGATGATAGCTGGCAGCAATGAAACCAACTCCATCACCACCTTCACCTTTATTCCATATGCCTCTCTCCTCCCCCAGCTTTTTGAGGAAATGCATCACTGCTGTGAGCCTGGCTTCCTGCAGGACCTGCATGGGAATCGTTTCTTCAGCTGGCTTCATCATTAGCAAACTTCTTTCTGGTAATTCTTGTTCCATGCCATGGAAAGATCCCCAGCTTTCATAGATCTTAAGGGCTTACCAGGAGACCCCAAGGTGCTATTCCCTCTGATTTCAGTGTGGAGAGAAGGATGCACTTTCAGATAGGATTTCAAGGGAAACTAAAAGGCAGAATTACACTGTCCCTTGGGCTTTGCATTTCAGAAAGTCAGCCCTTAATAAGGGGTACTTTCACAGACATGCTCAAAAGATGGAGTAGAGTTTTCTCATAGCCCATCTCTCCACGTGGGCTGCCTTTACTATGTAAGGTATTAAATGCTAGGGTTAAACTGTCCATTGGTTAAACAGGACTAGGAAACATGCCATTTTAAATAGAATGGAATTTGAATTGGATTAATATTCTGCCTAGGAAAAAAAAAAGACTATTCCTATTAGTTCCCTTAATATTATTTAGACAGCTTTTAATATCTTTTATTCCATGTTAATATTTTTAAAAATATATGGCTATCCATAGCACATATCTATACCTGCAGTATGATTCTTTTGCTGGTATAATTTTTAGGAATATTTTACAAGAAGAATTATGGAATGGCAATACATCTCATGGTCTCATGCATTTTTTCAAGCTGTTTGCTTTTTAACACTATTGTTAGCCACTCAAATTACAGTCTAGCTAGCCAAATGTATGACAATGCATAAGATTAAACATAATCATCAGAAAATGGGAGCATTTAAATAAGTTTCTCCAAATTTGAGAGCACTGCTAGGTATCACACACAGTTCTCAAGTTCATGAAGCAAATTATGGGCTAAATCCAGTTTAAGGTGGATACAATGGTATTATGTGCCAAACACTGACAGCAAACACTCCTCTTCAGAGCACTGGTGAGGTGGTAGAGGACACTGCAGAGTTGATCTGTGTTGCAGTGTAACCTTTCTTCAGCCCAAGACAACCAACTGGGGCCACATGCTGCTCAACAGACCTCATCAGAGCATTTTCTTAGCACACCAGTGGGGACCTTTGCCCAAACCACTGCTCTCCATTTCCATGGAGCAGGTGTCTAACAAGCCAGGCCTTTCCAAGACACAGGAGGAGTACTGACAGTCCTAGATTTGATTAGCAATGGTTGTCTCAAAGAGAACTGTGCAGAAATTTTGCTGATGGGTGAAATCTCAGAAGACTGCTTGTGTGGTACGGCTGGAATTTGAGAATAGGCCAAGCAGTAGTGAGAGATGGGGAAAAAAAACCTCACTGAAACGCCTTCTCTTCGGCTGGCCCGCAGCCAGGCTGTGCCTCGTGTAACTTAGGGCATCCTGTGAGCTGCTTTACATTATGCTGCCTGTCAGTGTCTTTAAAGAGCAGTTATGGCTGCTGGGAATGTCTACAATGAAGGAAGACTTGAGTAAGTCCTTTCCTGCCAACACATCCAGTGCCAGGCAGCAGCAGGAGGGTGTTTTTAGCATGACTTTGTGCCAGAGGTTCTCTGTACACTAAACAGTCTGGCAAAGTACACAGACAACAGAAGCATATGAATCTGGACTAGTATGATCAAATGGATCTCACAGGGCACTTGGTGTACCTTTAAGGCAGGTGTTTGCCCATCAGCCCATGCAATCCACTGTTCTTCAGTATGAGAAATGATGCCAAAATTACTCAAACGTGAGACAAGTTGCAAGTTTTTCGGTTACACACACAGTTCTGTGAGTTTACTAAGGAAAAACCATTTTATATGAGAATCTGAACTCAAAATTGAGGCCAAACTCATCTCTGCAGCTCCGGTGCACTTCCCTGGGAAGTTGGCATGTATGTTTTGTTGTAGTGTCCATGATGGAGTAAGAAACTAAGTTATTTTTGTGACAGTTCAGGTGTCTTACAATAGATTTTCACACTGATAAAGTTAATTACATTCTGCAGTATTCTCTTATTTTCAAGGTAGGTTCAAAGATGCCTAATTGTTGTGTAAACAAGATAAGGTATGATTTCTAGGAACAGCTACGAAGATGCAATAATCAGAGTATTAACATTCACCACTTTGCACTTACAGAAGATACTGCATACTTAATTGACAAATAAAACAATGCTGATGCATTTCCAGCAATCCACATGAGGATAGAAAGAGTTTTCATAGAGTTTTAAGAGGCACAAGAATAGCATTGCTGAAAGCAAACAAACAGTCACAAACTGTATGAAAGCCATTAGATGAATCATTTTCTCCTCCCTTTCTCACCTCCTTTACTGCCTTCTTTCATTCAGCAGGGTCAGATTTTCAGGGGTGCCAGGCCTATTTTAGCACATCTGTCATCCTTGCAGCTGCACTGAGCAGACATCAAAGCAGGTGTGCAGAAAGCCAAACTTTACTATTTTACTCACTGAAGGTGTTAAAGCCCCCAGGCTCTTGCATATCCCTGTCATTCACAGCAGCTGCTGAGGAAGCTTTCCCATGCTCTAAAATAGCTGAGATCTTGAAGTCAGACCTTAATATTCCCACCTTTACCTGAGCTTTCACAGGGGAACTCTGCAGTTTGGCAGGGCAGGGCAGAGCCTTTACAGCCCATCCCACTGCTTTCAGCCCAGGGCATCGGGTACCTCCATGGGGATAGGGACATCAGCTCATAGGTCAAAGCCCAAATAAGGAGGAATTATGGGTAGGCAAAAAGGACAATTACCCTGGGCTGACCTTTAAATAGATCTGCTGGGCTGGTGGACAGGGTGGGGTGGGGGGTCCTAGGTGGGGCTGGTCAGGCCCATCAATGCCCCGGGACCCTGACAGTGTCAGCTGCACATGGAGCATGTTTCTCCATGCAAGTGATGGGTTTAGAGCAATATGTTTCACATAGTTTATGCTTTATGGGATCACAATTTGGCTTTTAAACACAATCTGAGATCAGAGGGCCCTGTAAACAGGAGCTTCCAGAAGGAAGACAACAGTCAATGGGACTTTGCCCTGGCTTCCCTGCCTGTGGTACTGCACAGTCCACAGCGCCTTCCTCTACCCTTCCTGCCAAACTCTGCCTTTGGTTCCCTTGGATCCAACCTGTGTTAATAGGCTGTTTCCATACTTGTCTATATCTTTTTAATCCCTAGTTTACCAGACACCAACAAATCTTTTTTTTAAGCATGGATTAGGACTTCATTGTCAAAACAGCATGAATGTCAAAGCAGCAATCATGACTCCAACTTGCAGTAGTGGTGGCTGTAAAGGTTCATCCTGATATTTGTGTAGCTCATACTGCAGCAAAATCCAGATCCATCTTGTTAATGAAAATAAGAATAATTGTTCACAGTTTGACTGTAGGCACTGGTTAGGCAAGTCTTCTCAAACTAAAGATGTTATCTGGAAAATTAAGGAGCTCCAATTGAACTCAGTTTCTGGACAAGTGTGGTAAATACTGAGGAGGTATTTACCTCAAAGCTTCTTGTAAGAGGGTCTAAATCCTTTTCTGGAGGCCGGCATAGAAAGAATTAACTTTCCTCTTCTTCCTGTAGAAATGATAATCACAACTGCCTACCCTGCATGGAGGGAAGAAGCAGCTGTAATGAATTATTTATCTGTAACACACTGTAAGAAGGATGTGCTGTGATTAATTGTAAAGCTGCACAGGAAATGGTTGCCTTGTCCCAAAAGATTTTTGAGATTAAAAATGTGTTGCTATTCCACACTGGGATAAAACCAAAACCCCTTTACAAGATCTTAGAAAGGGAGAGAAAGCAAGACCCACCTACAAAACTCCCTCATCAGTCATATGTGTAGAACTCTTAGAACACCTGAGAAGAATGTTTGATAGTGAATTCATCAGATACAAACCATCCCATTCAACCCACATACCCCTGGGAAGTGCTTTAAGGAGGAGACCAACGTGCAGGAGCAGAGACATGAACCTGGTTATCTTGTGTGAATGCTGTCTGCTGAGCCAGGATGGAGCTTAGATCTTAGCTTTTCCTGCTGTCCATCTCACTTCAGCAAAAGTCATGACTGCTACCTTGGAGAAATTTACTGACTGTTTCATTTTTACAGCTAAATGCTGCAGAGCTGAATGACCTTTTACAAAATTTTTACCTCTAGGTATAAAATTCTTGCCTCTAGATGGGAAACCTTTTCTTAAAAAGCTTACATGGAAGTGACTTTTTATTTTCTGAATCATTTCCCCCATGTGTCTCACAAATAAGAAGAATTTCTCTAGTTTGTTTTTTTTTTTTTTTTTTGTCAGCTCTTTCAGTTTAGACATAAACTGTAGCCTGGCCATACTGGAGCGCCATTCTGTATTTTTAGGGGAGGCTGAGAACCGATGCATGAGATACAACATAGCAGAAACTTCAGAAGTTGAATACATTCCATCTAAAATAATTTTCTGGTTCCATAAAAGGAACATAAAAAAAGCTTTGCCATATCTTCATTACAGCTGTAGAAGTTCATACTTGACATAGTTTCTCCCCAGGGTATAACTGTGGTAAGGAAAAAAAATATGCTGACTGAGATAACTTGAATATATATACATTAAAAACATATGGTGTTTTTGGTTGTAGGTATGAGCTGGTACCTCCTGAGACTTGTGAGGAGATGTGGCCCATCAGATTGATCCTTTTCCTGGCATCAGTAGAAGGATGTGAGAAAAGCACTGACTGTTCCCTTTGGTCTGTTTAAAGACCAAAGAGACAGAAATAAAAAGCAGTGCAGCAATGATTCTACAACATTTTGCAAATAAGATGCACTTTGAAGTTTTTTGAACACTGGGACATGTAAAAGGAATGCCTGGTTGAGAAATACTTTGAGCCATATGAACCATATTGTTTCTATGAGTATACAGAGAGCACAGGCCAGCTAAATTTCAGCCTAGTCCAGCCTCTGAGGGGGGGTGAGCTCTGTTGTAGGCCTTAGATCACAGATGAGAGACACAACAGCATCACAGATGACAATGACAACCTGCAGACATGTTGTAATGCTTTTTTTCTTTGTTTTTTTTCCTTTCACATTTATTATTACGCCACAGTTGTGATAGTCATTTTCTTATATGGCTCTTGCTGCAAATCAGATTACGAAATCTCTGTGTTTTGATACTACATTTGAAAAGCAACCAGAACCACCAGGTGGTCCGTTTCTTAAGTGAGATGTGACATTAAGAGTGTTCAGCAGCCATGTCTCATTTTTTTTAACTTTTTGCCCGGTCACATTAAAATGAAAGTCACAGTGCTGGTTACAATTACAAAATTTTACAAAATCTTGGACCTATTATAAGAGATCACCCCTTTGCATGAACTGTGTTTTGAGGTCCAGTCTCTTCCAGCATGAGAAAATGGGTTTGATAACACAATGGGGTCACATACCTACTGCACTTTTACTCAACAGAATTTCCAAAGAGAAAGATAAACTATTTTATTGATAGGCTATTAACACTGATAATTATCATTGGATTTGATACACTTGGAAGTTGAAGGAAATGTCGCCCCACATAAATTATATAATTTATAAATCCATAAATGTGTGCATATTGAAATAATTATACCAATATCTATGCTTAAGATATGGACCTAATACTAGAGATTGCCAGGATTAGAAACTGTTTCCATTATCTGAACAGTAACTGGGCAAAATCTGATCTGAGCAGTCATTAAAAAATTTAGTGATATTTTTATCTGTTTTCAAATACCACTCTAAATTTTATTGTGTTTAATCTAGCTTACTTGTTAAAGGAACATAAAAAGAGGCATTGGGAATGTAGATTTAGTGTAGCACAGCTGTTAAGATGAAGAGTAATAGTTGGGAAGCCTTAGCTCTCAGATTCTTCTGCTGTACTAATGTCACCAAAATCGTATCACTGGGATACGGCTGTTTTTCATAGGTTGTATGGGTAGAAGGAACAGATACTTTTGCCCCACAGAAGCAGATCTCCTGATCCACTGACTTCACACATGGGTGTAATCCTGGGTACACTCACAGCAGCATGGATTCACGCATTGCAAAAGTCTTTGTTCTCTACGAAAGGGCAAAAGCTCCCAGGTTAGGTATGACCCATGCTGGTCAGTGAAAGGGTTTCTCTCTGAGGTTAGGGCCATGGGCCAGACTGCTTGAGTTAAACATTTTCATAAGGCATGATATGCCATCCTGCTTAAAAATGCCATATTTTTCAGAATAAACTAAACTTTCTTGTGAGTTATTACTTGCAACACTATGCTTATTGATGACACGTAGTAAATAAGATCTGTTTTCCAGGTGGTGGGAAGTCTGATAGGCTAGTAGAAAAGAAACTGACTGTATTTGTTCCTGTATTTATTTGTTTACTAAAAATGCTGGCTTTCAATCTGCTAATCACCAGAGGCTGTTGCCTTTTGACGAAACAAAAACACAAGAATACCAAAATTGTTAATGAAAAGCTCTTTTGTGGGCTGATCTAATTTTTTTCAATATAAAGGAAGCCTTTCTCAGTTTACAAATAGGTCTCAGGACTGTATCTCTGAGATTTTAACACTCTATGCAGGCATAAATTTAAGCCAAGGAAGAGTCACATGTTGCACAGCTGAAGTTTATTTTGTTCACTTGGCTGATGCTCAAGAGCAACAAAAAAATTTCCGGATAAAGCTAAAATACAGTAAGACACTGGCTCTGGGGAGCATCTTTTTCCTATATATTGCCCAGAATTATTTGGAGGGCATTTTAGAGATGTGGTTGAGTAGAGGTGTGAATAACAGATGTTGTTTTGATAGGGAGCAGAATGATTTGTTGTTTGGTTCACCTTTCTTTTAACAGTGTCCCTTTCTCGGGCCAAAGACTCCTTACTTCACTGACAATAGGAAAAGTAATAAAAACCGATGGTTCAGATTGAGTGAATCACACAAATATATACCTGTATATAGCCATTATCACAAATAGAATGGAATGTGCTTCCTATAAACTTCAGACAACTCTTAATGATACACTGGTAACAGCCATGTCTCATTTGGGGTTTCTCTCCATACCTGTTTTCTCTCGGTCATCAGGGATTTGCAAGTGTTCTCGGGATTTCCTTGGAATTTAGGCTAATAGAGAAGTGCAGGACAAATCATAAGTATGATTTATTAGCTATTAGAGACAAGTTCTTGAAACTGCAAGGAGGTATTTGCATGTTGTGATTTTGACTGCAAAGACTTTCCTTAAGAGAAGTACTTGTCTGTTCTCCTCTACTAGTAATTTGTACCATTTTTTGTGTAAACCACAGTTCCAGGTTTTACCAATAAATAAAGGAAATGGCACACTTTTAAAAGGAGATTAAAATGTGGGGATTGGGTTGCATATTTTTGTTTTCTGGCTTACTGCTGTGTTTTTTCATGGTCAAAATAAACCTGTATATGCAGCTCATACCATAAACCAGAGTCATTGCTTTGACCCTCAGCAAAGCATTCCCTGTGCTGTGTTTGGAGCGGTAACATACTAATTCAGTTCTGCTTGGGAAGCCAGATCCCCAAGTGAGCCTGGGTTCCTGCCTAAGCTTGGTTTTCAAAAAGGTGTGGTTTTCTGTTATCGTGTACTTATCCAAAAGATGTGAAATTTATATATTCACATATACCACTTAGGAACAGCAATTTTACAACTTCCTCTTGGAAGCCTTCTAAATCTATTTTTGTTCTGTTCCAGGCAAAAATGGGAACACGTAAGAAATTATTTCGTTCATATCCCTTTGTAGCCTGTGGCCCTTTGAGCAATAGTCAGTAGGCAAAAATTAATATATGACTGAAAGAGAACCGTCTTTCTGTGGCTTCTGATCATGTTTGAGGGAAAACAAGGCCAGGAAATAGTATTTACATAATTTTTGATAAATTATATGGTGGTGGGTATCTATTGAGGCAAGTCTGGAATATTTTGTTCTGATTGCAGTAAAAACTGCAGCTTGTGCTCTTACCTCTATCTGCTTAATCTAAAACCTGTTCCCAACTGCTAGGCATCAAATTGAGCATATGTGAGACACAACTCTTGGGATTAATGTTAAACTAGTGAATCTTAGACCTTATCTATCATTTATTTGTCTCATTTGTGCATCCATATATATCCCAGGCATTTTTATTTAATTATTCAAGAATTGGCACGTGACTTGCATTAGCTCCTTCCTCTGACTTTCTTGCTGACAGAATGGTGCAAAGCAGCAATATCTAATCCTCATACAGCTAAAACTGTTTGTGAAGAAGAAAGATCCTATTACACTGGCCCTTCACGTGAGCGGAAATTACACTTAATACTAAGTACCAGTTCTTAGGATAGAATATTGTTGTGTTCATACCAGCAAATTGATTCAGACTGCCATAAAAGAGTTGCAAGGTTTCATCTTAATTTGCAAGTAAATCTCTATATATTCAGTCTATGTCACTTTGATGGATACAGAACTGTGCACTGCTACAAGGCCGGCACATGTATTTATTTATTCAGGAAAATATATGTCATGAAAACATTCATTATGAAAGACTTAATGTGCTCTAATGGTCTGATCTAACACCACTGAAATCAATGAGAACCTTTCTTTCAATGCTGGTAGTGCAGGAGCATGTCAGCAGTGTAGGAACCATTCCTCTGGCCTAAAGTGCCTAGCACAAATGTCAAAATCATTAGGAAAATCAAAGGAAGACAAACCAAAAACCCCACAGACGTGACAAATTTGGAGGCAACTGAAAATACAGCTGTTTTCTGAAGTTTGCATATGAAACATATGCTCTGAGAAAGATGAGTCATTTTGGGTACGTGTCTATGCTTATTTGTAATATAAAAACCCAGAGCAGTAACAGAAGAGTTGGTAAAAACGTACCTTAAAAACAGCTGAAAAGGGTTGGTTAGTAGTTTATTTGCTTTTAATATTCAGCTTGCAAAACAAATTTGATTTACTTGAATTTTCATGAATTTTAACAGACTTTATTCTGCTTTAAACACCATCATCTCAAAAAAAAAAAAAAAAAAAGGCAGCAGAAATTTTATTTCCTGGTTTTTAATGAATAATCAGCCTGCAGTATAAATGCTTGTTTGGTGTCATTACTTCAACGAAGAACTGCAAACCACATATTTTGGTTGCAACTAGTTTAACGCAAGTACTTCAGTCCTGAGAATTTTTCAGGGCTATCCCATGAAGTGAATCAGCCCAAGGGACATGAACTGAAACACTATGGACAGAAAGAAAATGTCCCTGTGTGCATGCAAAACCGTAAGCCTCTAGCGTTACTGCGTACAGTCAGGATATGATGTGTACCCAAACACTTTTGTCTTGGGAAGTCCCTTCTCTCGGATGTTCACTGGGGGGGCACCCATCTCCTTGCCTAGGAGGCCTCCTGACCCCACTCAGCTGTGGACCTGCTGGCACAACATCATCACAACTTGTCTGCCCAGCTTTTGGGAGCAGTTTCCCAGGGCTCCCACCAACCTCTGCTGAAGCTGCCATCGGCAGTGGCTCTCCAGTCCCTTGGCAAAGAAGTCTTCGTAAGGAAGCCTGTAAGCGAAAGGGTGCATGAGGGAAAAGAAAGCATTACACAGAGTAAGTATCCCCCACATTGCAGACTTTCTGACTTGAGACATCCATCTTCATCTTCTCTCTGTGTTCCTTTTACCCATCAAGCATCCAACAAAGATAAACAGCTGTTGGTGTCTGGTGCTGGCTTCCAGACAGGGACCCAGTGCATCTCACAGGTGCCCTTGAGGTCCATCTCCCCTGCTGCTATAATTTGTTCTTCACCCCAAATTCCAACACCCAGCAGAAGTCCTGAGGAAAGAGAGACTTGTCCAAAATAAAAGACTTGTCCACAAATAAATAAAATCACCCTCACATAAATCCAGATGTCATTACTCTCCACATTGTTGTAACGCATTCTCAGTCACAGATGGGAAAAAAGTCTAAATGTGGCTCCTTTGTCTACTTTGATACTATTATTTTAGCTCTGTGAAATATGAACTCAGGAGAAGTGAGGATCACTGGTGAATTTTGCACTTGCATGAGGCAATCAGTCATTGCCAATCTTTTTTGAACAAGTATCCAAGTAAAAGACCTAGGAATCCTCTTGGTCTTTTGCTGGCAGAAGTCTGTGGTCAAACCCACGCATCTTCCTGCACTTTAACAGGCCTTGAGGTTTTGTATGTGGTAAGATTTGTTGCAAACTGATTTAACAGAGTGCATTTTGTTAACCATAAAACACAATGAAGCCTGAGAAAGCTGGATGAACTGAGAGTCTGGCTCTAGACATTGTAAGAGGCTTTATATTGTCTTGTTCTGGCCTGAGCACATGTGAGAGGTGCTGGGAGTCAGCAGAGCAGCTGCTGGCCAGTCTCAGGCCTCCCAGACCCTCTGCAAGGAAAATCCCAGCACCTCTGTAGTTCAAATGGCATGAGGTGCTCCTCCTAAGACTTTTTTCTTTTAAAATTTTCCCCAACAGTTATTAAACGGATTTTTTTACTAAATCAGGCACATCAGGGAAAAGGATGAGAATGAATGAGGAATAAATACAATCATAAACTCTTTTTTTGCAGCAATTTTGCAAAGGGTAGGGCAGAAGACAAGGACACTTTTTTCAAAAGGTGATCTTGGACTCATACTGGTAGCTGTGGTCATCCCTGCCCCCTCCCGTGAGAGGAAGATTCCTGCTCCCCTCTGCTTCTAGGGGTTTTTTCCCTTCTGCACCAACTCTGTCTGAGCCTAGGGATCTATCTTTTTAAATGCAAAACGAAGAAGGGGTCAGGAGCCTGGGACAGTTCCCTGTGCACCTAATGGAGTTGGCGGAGCCGCTCGCTGCCTTGCCCGGGGGAGCGAACCTTCCCCTCTATCTCCCCGAGGCGCGCGCCCGCCCGCTGCTCCGGCCCGGACCGAGACACCTTTCCCTGACTCCTCGTAAATAAAACTATACATAAAGTTGCAACAGAAAAAAAGCAGCAGAGCTGCACCGCCGCGGTCCCGCACGAAAGGACCGTGTGCCGCGCCGGCCGCAGGTTCCAGCCCAGCCCCGACGTCCCCGGGGGCCCCTCCGTGGGGAGCGGCGGTGCCTCAGGCAGGGCCACCCGGGGCAGCGGCGGGGGCGGCCCGCGCCTCCCGCTCCCGCTTCTTCTGCTTCATGCGGCGGTTCTGGAACCAGACCTTCACCTGGGCGTCGCGGAGGCGCAGCGAGCGGGCCACCTCGAGGCGGCGGGCCCGCGACAGGTACCGGCTGAAGTGAAACTCCTTCTCCAGCTCCGTGAGCTGCCGGGTGCTGAAGCTGGTGCGTGCGGGGCAGGCGGGAGGTTCCCCCCCGCACGGCGCCGCGCCGCCTGCAACGCCGAAAAACACCGCGCTTCAGCGGGGGCACAGGCAGGGGGAGGGAGCGGGGCGGGTGTCGGGGCCGAGGCGGGAGAGGGGTAGAGGGGAGCCGGGATGGGAGCAGTCCCCGCCCGCTCGCCGCAGCCCCACTCACTTCTCCTGGGCGGGCTCCGCTTCGTTCGCATCCACTCGAAGGTGCGGGGCACCCCCGGGGCCGCCGCGGGGGCCGGGGAGCCGGGGGCGGGGGCGGTCCAGGGGCAGGGCGAGATGCCCCGCAGCCCCCCGCCGAGGCAGGGGCGGGCGGAGTCCTGCGGCGGCGAGCGGCCGCTCTCGGGAAGGATGGTCGTGGGGTATCCCGGCGGTCCGGCTCCGCGGGACGGCCGGCAGCCGGGGCCCGGCGCCGCCGCGGGGGCGGCCGCGTACCCCGCCGCCTGCAGGGGGGGCGCGGCGCTGGCCGTGGTGCCCAGCCCCAGGGAGGCGTCGTCCCCTCGCTGCGGGCACGGGGCCCCGCGGCACAGCCCCGGCGGAAAGGCGAGGGCAAAGTACCCCAGGTCCATGGCCCGCGGGGCAACGCCGCTCCCCACACCTGCCCGCCGGGGCAATATTGCCCTAATATAGGGCCGGGAGCGGGGCGGCACGTCCCGCCCCGCGGCCAATGGGAGCCCGGCGGGGGGAGCCCGCACCGGGGGTCCCGGGCTCCGCCGGCTCCCCTGCCCACGCCTGGCTGCCCAGGGCCGGCGCGGGGCTCAGGTGGGCAGTCCCCCGAGCACTCCCGGGATCCCCCTGGGACAAGCCGCTTCCTCTGGAGTCGATGGACTCGCCGCGCACTTGCCGGGAGTTTGGAGGTGGCGCTTTTCCGCAACCTGGGCTTCCCTCCACGGCTAGGTCTGCCTCTTGCCCTGCTGCCGGCCAGGCTCCTGGAGGCTCCCACGGGAGCCCACGCGGCCCCGGGGAGCGGCAGCGTGCGGAGGCACACAGAGGCTGTCCAGACCCTGAGGCTGAGGTGCTTGGGGGGGTTGTTGTTGCACCTCATGGCACTTAATGGTCTCACTCCATCAGATAAGTGCTCTGCAGCCTCCCAAAAGTGAATCCCCGGGCTCACCCCATTAATGGACTTTCATTTTTCCCTTGACAATTCGGCATTGTTTACTGAGTGTTTGCAGCTGGCAGAGAGTGAATCAAGTTACACTGCCCAACCAAACGCTCTGACTCTCTCTCTTGGTTTTCATCCCTACAGAATGGCAAGAAACAGGAACAAGGTGGAGGAGGTGAAACCTGGACTCTAAAAGTGATTGTCTTTCCCTAGATGTCTCCAAGTGACACTTGATCATCCAGTCTGAGCCACATTTATGTTTGATTTGGATAATGATGGGTTTCATCCAACACCTCAACTGATAACCACATGTCAGTGCAGTTCAGAACAGAAAAGGATGTGCTGGCCAGAGCACGCTTGGCCTTCGGTGACTTGGAACTGGACAGACAACATGAAGAAGGGCTATCATTTTGCTTGAAATTAGACAGGCAACCTTCTAATTCTTAAGAAGTGGATGTGGTCTCAGCTGGGAAATGCAAGGGTTGTATTTTATTTTAAAAAATATTTTATTTCTAAATAAACACAAGAAATTTAAATGCCTTCATCCATCATCCAGTGCCTTCCACTCAACAGCTACAAGTTCTCAGCCAAAATGCTATTTGCTGTGGTCAGGAAGAGGCCACAAATTTTGTGAGGACTAAACATGGTGCCATGGTGCCAACCACTCAAAGGCAGCCGGAATCCCCAGAGAAGGAAAAATTCTATTGGGTTTTCCGCAGATTTCAGAGGGCTGGGCTGATGACAGGGAAGACATAAGCAGACCATTTCACTGACTCAGCCTCAACTCTTTCCTATAGAGACTTGTGCTCTGCAGCTCAGCCCCAGATGCCCCACCATTACACCTAGTTGATGATTCAGAGCAGGTCTGATTGTTTTTTTTTCCTGCAGGGGCCCTGAGAGGACACATCTCTGGGACAGGCATACACAAGCCTGCAAGGATACAGTAGCATTTCCCTGCATATGGGCTCTGACCAGCAACATGGTCTTCTATCTCCCCAGCTTATTGCCCATCTACTATAAAACAACTGTTACAGTGCAAAGGCTGGCTATACAGATTACTGCTTTAAGGTTAGACTTCAAGTTTACAGACACAGCAGTCACTGAAAGCCCAAAACCCTGAAGCTAGGTGTTCTCCTGGCACAGACTTGTTCACTCTTACGGGCTGTGCTGCCCTGCTGCACTAGTAATGGAGTATCACCTAAATTCCCATTTTCAGAGCTATGAAATAGAAAAACCGTTTAAATCAAATACACCTTGTTGGAAAACATACATTCTGAGAGGTTGAATTCTGGATGATGCAAACTTGCTCAGCACACCCATGGCAATCAGAGCAGTTTGGAAAATGTCATCTTCTGAAAAATCAGAAGCCAGGGAACACCAGGCTTTGTCTTCAGCAGAGAAGGAATGTCCATGCAGGAGAGTATCTCTGCTCTTCAGTCTCCCCTGCTGTAAAAACTCCTGCCCACAGGGAAGGAAAGAGAATTGCCTCCAGAGTAGGGCTGCTGCTTTACTCAGAGTCTTCTGTTTGCAGAATGCAACTGGTTTTGTTACACCTAAGACTGTTTTAAATGCTAGAAGAGCTGTCTCTGTTCACACCAACATATGATCTTTCCATTTACCCAGCTGGATTCTGTTACCAAGTTTCTTGTTCATTACCTGTTTGTTTTTGCAGGATTCTTCAAGGGTGACAAAAGCAGAAATCAGCGGCTAAATACAGGCAAAACATCTCTTGTTGATGTCCTGGCTTTTGAGGGAGGGCTTTTTCTACACCCCCGAATTTCACAGTGTTCAGACTTAAATAGCTAAGTTCCAGTGATACAGAGTAGAACAACTGCAGTTGTTTTTTTACAAAGAGTCTAATGGGGGAGAGGAAGGACTCTGTGGAAGTCAGAAAGAGGAAGAAGAAAAGTGGGTTAAAAAGAGTGTGAAGAACATGATGCTGTCAAAGGCAATTTGAGAATGGCTGAGAGGTTTAGGGATGTCTGCATGAGCAGTGGAGTGATGGCACTAGACAGGGAAGCTGCTGGGGCAAAAACCTCTGTGAGGAAAATGGTCCAAATGATTCCTTGTGTCACCATGTTTCTGGAAGTGTGGGCCACTGCAAAGCCTGAGATAGCCACTGTGAAACCAAGATATGATATAGGAAAAAGCCTGTCCAAAAAGCCCTAGGTGGTTTCAGACGCTTACCAGCAATGCCTTAGGGAAGCTGCTTGAGCAGTGTGTGTGTTGAAGGCAATGGCAGCCCTGAGCCACAGACACTGCTTTGAGATTGGAACATGTTGCCTTTCCTCTCTGGAGCAAGACTCCACCCTCTGCACTTGTCACAATAACTAACAAACGGGAGATGGAACATATCCCTCCCCAGCCCCCAGGCCCGGAAGGTCGGGTTCAAGCATAGCCTTGCCTCTCTGCTGCCACAACACTACCAGTGGGGGAAAAGCCGGTTCTCAGTGGTACGTGGGGATGTACATCCATGGTGTGGAGATAGCTAGGGCGTGGGTGGGCATCCTGAAGAGAGGTAAGTAAACACTGGAGGTTTAAGCAGTGGGCCTGTTAACACAGACAAACCACCAAAGGCCCCTGATGAAGGGGCTTAGTCCTACCCTGCCATGTTACTCCATGGCTCTCAGGCCTTGGGGCTGGGTTGTGCTTCTGCTGGATGGGGTTTCGGCTCAGGTCCCAGCTGGCTCAGGCCCAAGCAGAAGTAGGAGGAACCACTGTCAAGTAGAAAGTGCTCTTTGTGTGATTGATGACCTTTAATAGAGCCAGCCCCCTCACTCCCCTGCCAGCCCCACTCCCAGCAAGGACCACAGCTACCCGCTGCTGCTTCTCACAGGGGAACAGAGAGATGTTGCCCATTCAGGGATTAACTTGCCACTCAATCCCTGGAACGTGACTGCAGCCAATGGAGCTCTGATCCAGCCCATCATGCACTTCTTAAAAGCAGAGGTCATCATGTGGTGCCCAGCCAACCACCACAGCCCTAATTGCCCCAGCAGCACCAGCCCCTTTGTGCTGCCTGTCTGGCTCCAGCTTTTGTTCCCAGGCAGGTCTGCGGTGGCAGTGCTGGGTGTCTGGGCCTGTCCAGCGTGCAGCACACTGTGCCTTCCCCAGGCTGCCGTTTGTGTGTGGCTACTGGGCACACATGGTAGGCTGGCACATGGAAGGAGGGCATTACAACCTGCAGCTCCTTCCCTCCCTCCTCAGCCAACAGTTGTGAGCAAGGCACCTTCCCAGTGGTAGACCAGCAGCCCCATACCCTTTGCCCTGGTTTTTTCCCTAGTCAAGTAGACTCTTTCATGCCTGGACCAACCAGCAGGCTGTTTCACTGGTCTTCTAATGGGGCTGAAGGGATGCAGAGAACCCAGTGGTGGATCCTGCCTTCAGAATTCTTACCATGCAGCTCCAATGCTCCAGCTGGTCCCCAAGTAATTCAGAGAACTTCTAGTGGGTGCCGGTAGGCTCCCTCTTTCTTAGCCAGCCTCCCCCCTGCCTGTCCTTGCCTCCTCAGTGTGCAACCAGCTGCCTCCTCTTCACCTTTGAACGAGGTTGCTTGCAGCCCCAGGTGACCCAGGTGTGGTCTCATATTGGCAGCCATGTAGGATGTCCTGGAGTCCCTCCCTGGCCTTCCCAGAGACCAGGGCTGGGAGCCTGCATTGGTTGACCATGAAGCACTTGCTAATGGAGCAGGAGACATTTGGCTTTGTTTTCCCAGCCCCACACAAATGACACAAGACTGTGGCATCCCTGGGAGCCCTTGGCTGTGCCTAAGTTCCCTTGCCCTGGTGCTGCTCACCAGACCAGAGGCAGTGGGACATGGATGAGGCCCCCTCAAAAGAAACAGGGTGCAAAAGGGCAGCTCAGCCCCACACTGGCTTCAGGGAGCTAACACAAAGCCTCTCTCCTTTTTGCAGCAGGGAAACTGCTGCAAACCCATTAAACCCATTACAGTGGGTTACCGTAAAGGCCAAACCAACCCACTAATCTGAACAGGAGAACCTGCATGGCCTCACTGAAGCTTGGTGTACTCCTGACATCTCTCAACCAGTGCTGTCAGCAGCTCCTTATCCCAAACACTGCAGCAGCACTGCCAGCATTTAGAGGCCCTGACTCAGTGACCCTTTTATGGGTCTGGAGCAGATGGAGGGAGCAGGGAAGGAGAGGAAGGGGTGCTATGGCTCCTATTTGTAAAGAAAGGCGAGGGTAAGATCAGCCCCAGGCCTGGCCTTGCCTGAGTAGTTGTGTTTTAAATAGGTGACTGGAGTTCATCACATCAGATGCTGTTGCAAAGGAGCTAAGTTCCTATTGAGTGTGAAAGGGGGTTGTTTATAATTTATGGGTTTTAAATGATGGGCCAAGAAAAAGTCTGGCTTGTGCCAAAGTGTATTTCTCTTCTGGATTGCTGATGCTTGTACAAACATTGTAAAAATGCCAGTGATCTCGCTAAAGTAACATTACTTCTAATAATTAGGTTATCATCACAGACTTCTATCGCATTACAAACAAGACGCCTCTGCCAGAGTCATGGAGAAGAAAGTGAATTTATTTACAAGAAGATTCCCCCTCACGCATGCTCCTCCTCCTCCCCCACTGGAAACCAAGTCTGCAGACCCCGTCTTTCTGTTCAATATTAAAATAATTCAGGGCAATGTGCCTCAGTAACACTGTCTTTGTGGTTAGGGTTCCTCTGAAACCCCCTTCTTCCTCAGATCTGGGGAAGGGCTATCTATAAACAACCTTTTCTTTCTTAGCAGATTTAATGAAGGACTAACAGTGTAAGTCAGAGCAGACACTGAAGAACAGCCTACAGAGCATGAAGCAAAAGGGAAAAGAACACTGGGTTACCCTGCAGAAATAGTGGTGCCTTGATGTTTCGCAGACAGAAGCAGGTGATGCAAAATATATTGTGTTTTCAAGAACACACAAAAAACCTACGTGGACAATTTCAGTTGTGGGTACATTGATTACAGAAAATTTTGGAGAGACAAACATATATATATTTATGGAATATTATAGAAGTATAAATCACGAGTGGTTTTTAGCATTACTTTTTGTGTTGTTTCTATGTTTTGTTTACTCCTGGATGGAGCTTCTAAGAAACAATTTGTGTGAAAACTTCCATAGAAAGCAATTTTAGGGCTTAAAATTGTCAAAATATGTCTCCAAAAAAAGTAGTTTATTCTGTTCTGTTTTGTTTAAAGTGAAATTTAACAAAAGATACACTTTTTAATTTAGTGCAGCATTGTTAAAATCGCCCAGAGGGGAAAATAAACCCCTAAGTAATATTTTGAATTGTTACTGCTCAGCCGAACATAAATACCAGATGGTGAGAAAGAAAGAAGGGATGGGAAAGAAAAGAAGAATAAATAATGAAAACTTGTCTGTGTTGACCAGGATTGGAGGTGGTAAAATATTTCGAACAATAGGAATGCCAGGTC